GATGCCACAGACGCGAAAACCACGAATTAACCATTTTGCAACAATTCACAATTTTATAAACAAAATAGAAATATGGTCTACAATGGCCGGAAAAGAATACGCAAATTGTGCCTGAGATTGACATTTTAACATAGCAGTTTGACAGAGTTACAAATTAATTGCTAAAAGTTAGGATAATAATGGATAAAATGCTAAATATTTACTGGCCTATTGACAGTAATTCTGGTCGGAAAAACCAGCTCAGAAGTATTTTTTCATCATGGCGTACGCGCAGGCAAAATCTCTCCCTTGACAGGAACGATGTCGATATTTCCGCCTCATTCAAAAACAATCGACGCCTCCGCGCTCAGGAACCGCGTCTTTCCCTGTCGAAGTTAGGTCGTTTGCACCAATCACATCGACACTAAGATTCTGGCTGTAGCGATTGGTCAAAGCGCCCCTCCCCCGGATCGAAGGGTGTACAAGTTTGTCTGGATGTTGGGAAGATAGTATTTCACTCGCCACTTTTTATGGGGAGGAACTTTACGTATACGAGAAAGTAAAAATCAATATTTCTTTATTGATTCTTTTAATACTTAACATACTTTGGATAAATAAGTTTGCATATCAAAAACAATCTGCATATTCTTATGGATGTAAAATTTCGTAACATAGCGCTAAATACATTCAACTTTCTCTTGACCACAATTATAAATACATGGAAAATGTAAATCACCTGCGGGTTTCACACCGGTTGAGGTGCGAGGATTTTCGAAGTGCGGAAAATCCGCAGTAGCCAGGTCACTCTTGAGTTTTAAGAAACCTGATGCCCGGCAAAATTAAAACCCTTCAACAGTATGCCACCCTAACGAGATATCACTTTCCTCAAAACAGACAGTTCGGATATAGTTAGCTGAGATCGACACTTGGCGGAGAAAGTGAGAGTCACACCGCAGGCGGATCAGGGAACAGCCCGCTCGAAAAGTCCCTGGACCCGACTTCCAAGGAAGCACGTCACACAAGTTTTTAACTGTTTTTGACGTAAATAAATAAATAAAATAAAAGCGTGGGTCGAAAAGAACTGGCTGGCATCCAACTGCTCTGAATATCCTCTTAGAATCATCAAGTATTGCACGCGATATGTGTGTTACTAGTACTACTAAATCACTTGCCAAGGAACCGACTGCAACACGCAGAGAGCCCTCCTGCTCTGAAGGTGCGATTCTCCACAGTGAACTTTGGAATTCTCCGCTCGGAACGTCCCCATAATGAAATTCGTTAATCATTCAGGACCAGATAACAACTGAATTTATCACTGAATATTACGGAACTCTAGTTCAAAAATTAACCAGAAGGCCGAGAATTAACACGTTTCCGGTGTGCGTTTCTTTAGGATTCACAGGAAGATGCCCTGAACTTGCCTCAATTTATTGGCAGAAGCTTAATTCCGATGCATTGCTTTGATTCATGCGGCACTGGTAGCCTAAACTGACCTTTTTTCTTCCAACTGCATTACGCCGATAATATTCATCCTTTCAAAAACTATTCTTAGCAATAGTGGATGAACTCGTGGATGTGTTTTGTATTAACCGCAAAGTACACAATGACGCAAAAGTTACCACAAAGGGAAACCCATGTTCCAATCAATGTTGTGGTAAACGTCTGTTTGTTAGTAAATAAATGACGCAGTAAAGGCGCGCGCAGCAAAGGTAACGAAAAAGTGGATAAATCTTGCCCCTATACAAATTGTACGTAAATTATTTTCTATAACACCTCTAACACGTTGTGTAGACAGAATTCATATTTGTGGGAACTTGTTACCGAAAAGACGATTGATTACATAACGTCTGTCTGTCTATCCGTCTGTGGTCAAAGTTAGGGCCTACACCGTTCAGCAACTTTTTCTGCAATTTCTGTAACTGATGCTTAAAAGTTTCTTGTAATAAAGACTTATCGCGAAATATTGTGGCTCTCAACTTCTTACTTTAAAAGAACATCAACTTTATAAATGCTTCCAAAGTAACAATGTTACTACAGTATCTACCGACATATTGGCATTAAATGTTAATGAAATACCTTACCTACAGAATTTCTCCATTACAATGGGAATTGCCAAACATACAATACAAATATTATCAAACTATGATCTATCTTGGAGTCACTTAACATTAACCATCAGCTCTGCAATTATTGCATCTCCCTGCGCCAACAAAATTAAATAAAAATATACGGACTGGTATGACCTTCCTTGAAATCCTAGACAGGAAACATATAGCAAATGCATAATCGAGAATCGTAAAAGGCAGAAATGAAGACATTGAACATCTAAGGGGTATCTGGAATGCTAGTAAATAAATACAAATGTCCAAATATGCCGTTTCTGCGTATTTGCGAAATCAATGGTACCTAGACAAGACGTCTAAATGACAAAAGAGAACTTTTGCCCAACACGTCGCTACTGAATTTGATATAAGATAACTCAAATGACGTAATTCAGTGGCTTAATACTATTAATAGAACAACCGATTTAACGAGAATAGCTGTGATTTCATCACAAGAAAAATCTTCAAGAAATAAACTTACATGAATGGAAGAAAGAAATTTGTTTTCACTGCCTCTCTATTAAACTGTTATCATGTAATGTGTATGTAATCGTTGGGATGTAATCATTTCCCGACTCAATGGAAGGTAGATCAGATTGTTCCCATATTGAAACCTGGACAACCACATATCGATGACACTGCATGTTACCATTGCAACCAGCCTTGTCAAAGTCTTTGAACAACTTGTTTCAACGACTCACGCCTCTTCTACGAGGAGTCATACCGGACTGCCAACTCGGATTCAGAGAAAATCAATGGACGTTTGAACGAACCTATTGAGTCGTTGACATCTTCACACAAGACTTAATTAAAACTTTATTGTATTGTTTTTGTAGACGTTTAGCAAGCGTTTGACAAAATATGGTATAATGGACTTCTATACAACATTAAATCCTTTTTCCACATTAATATTATCTTCTGTTGAAATAATACTCTCTAACCGCTACTGCCAGAACCAAAATCAAGGGCGTGTTATCTTATTATATGTGGTGTCTTACAGGGTAATGTTTTTGGTCCTTTGTTTTATCCAATGACCTTCTTAACTACGATTACACTTCTGAGGCAACTTTTAGCGCCGATAACGCAATATTGGCTTCACATGAAAACATAAAGTAGGCCATAACAAATTTTCGATAACACCGATATCTACTACGGTAGTGGTTAGAACAAGCGCGCATGCAAGTAAGTGCCTAAATAACACGTTAACGTTCACTCTTTGCAAAAAAAAAAAAAAAAAAAAAATCTTCAAGTGAAATTGAAATGGAAATTTGTATACCTTAAACAAGTAGCATCATTTAAATAATTGGAATTCCACATTGACCAATGTTTAACGTGAAAAAACCCAAAGAACGAAAAAAAAGAAGCAAATTTAAAATTTTCCAGATCGCATAGTTGAACAACACCTACACATTTCGTCGCTTTTCTAGATTACTCGTGTAACATACACAAAAAAGATTGTGTTCAGGTGAGCGCGATTTAATTTCCCCACAACTTCATTTGTTTCCCACTGAACGATGATGTTCAAGTTTTATGAAAAGTGGTTTTCTTTATTTTTTATGTGTGAAAACGGATTTTATAAAACTTACAATTTTTGGGCAACATTATACCTCAATAATAAATGAAACTCTCTTATAATGAAATAGTGATTTCTATTACCAATCATCAAATTGCTATTCTGTGAGAAAAATACTTATTCTAAATAAAAATGATTTGTTAAACTGATTTACCTTAAAATCTCCAACCGGGAGAGGTGTCCCAGGGCGGCAACTGATGCCATTACAGTGCCTCTCGTCAGGAGGTCATAGGTTCGACTTCCAACGGTGGCAGGGTTTTCGACACTAGCTAGATAGCTAGGTCGACTTTATCGCTGTCGACTTTATCGCTGTCGCTGCGTGGAGGAGCATTCTAGCGGCCGACTGCTTTGATCGTTAGTTTACCGTGGTTTCTCCGATCAACACCAGGCGAATGCCCCTAATAAATAAACGGGCCACAGCACGGGATGTTTCATACCTCTTCCTTTCTTTACCCTCGCTCCTTACACTTACAGTAACAAGTACTACACAACCGCAAAAGCTGGGAGACCGGTGGAGAAAAAGGAGCTTGTCCCGGCTGGAGCAGTGTCCGATTGTCACGTGGTTGAGGAAAACCTTGCTAGACTACAGTAAATCGTAGCTGGATCTCGTCATCTAGAGGGGGATGCCCACAGACACCTCCCGAGGATAAATATGCACTACACAAATGCTATTTTAGCTGTTGGCGTGCTCGGTATCACTAATCTATCAATGAAAATTAAATAATTTTTTCCGATTTTTTTGAGTTAGTTCAGTATTCTCGAGAAGATGCGATTTTTATCTACAAAACAAAGAACTCCTTAATAAAGCGTGCGAAGCAAAGCAACAACGGGGACAGTAAAGGGACACGGAACCCAGCTATCGGTTTTATCAGTATATTCAATTTCGAGATTCTCTGCAAATTGGCATCAAAATGATTCCGCCAAGTAGTCAACACACCCTGGTACGTATCCATCACCGCAAGATATAAACATTCCACCGCGTATTAATAAAAAGAAAACGCAGTTTAATAAAAAGACTACGAAGAACATTCTAACAACCAAACAAACATCCGAACCGACTGTACGACAAGCGCACAATTTCGAGCCACTACGTGCCCGCCCACGGACACCGCTGGTACTAGATCCCCTTGAGACAGGGGGCAGGTATTTTCTACTGTTGCGCCGCCGATTCCGCCATTTTGTATTCTGAAGAGTACGAAATGTCCCTTGTTGGAGGTGTTGGGAAGCGCAATATTATTAAAAAACATATTGATATCCTTGAACATTTCCATAATGCCTTCTACGGTTATCATTTCCCATCAACGTCTGAATGCTATCTGGCGGGGATAAGAGTGAGAGGCTTTTAAATGACGGTGGTTGCGCTACTCGCTGTATCGAGGGTCTCTAGCCGGGACATTGAACCTTTCACCTCGGCGCCAAACGAACTACAGTACGATTTATTTAGTCGTGCACTTGACGTAAATCAGAAGTTGTGTTTCATCGAATCGGGAGCTAATAAGGATGCTATTGTGACATCACTAATGGGTCGTTAGAGCTCCTGATTGGTATTTTGAATGTTGCTGAAAATTTTGTTATTGAACAGGAAATAAAATGAGAAAAATTATGTTAATACTATTATAATCGTTAAATACAAATCTGTGGGCAATAATGGCGTTTTCACGGTCATCTTTCGAATCATGTGAATATGCAAATTATGTGTGCTGTTGCCAATCTTTATATTTTTTATTTTTTATTTTAGAAAATAAATGCATTATAAGCACTTAAAAATATTAGTCACTTAAATACTAGACACCATTATTGAATCGAATCTAAGCATACGGCAAACTAGTAGGAAATGTAAAATAGATGGACATGAGTAATCTTGAAAACTAATATTTTATTTCTTCCTTTATTTCAGGAATTGGATGTACCTCTCCAAGAATTCTCATCTGAAATTTTGTCTGAGCTAACTAAAATGCATGCCGCCTGTGCTGATATTTTGGAAACTGAAGTGATAGATGTTCTATTCCAAAGAATCAAATCTCAAGATCCCGATGTGCAACATAACTCAGCCAAGGTAAGGTCCGATATTGCCCTACCCATATCTTTAGTAGTTAACAGTACATTGGACACTGGCTGTATTGATTGAATATAATGAACTTTTGGTTATAGTAAACCAAAGTCACTGGATCTACTCATGTACATTACAAACAAACACTGTATAATTCGCTTGTAGTAAACTCTCCACATTGGATACAGCGATCTCAGGAAATACAACTTCCAGGAAAAAAATACTTTGCCTCAAGACCGCAAATTCGAATAACTTATGGTTTGTGGAGAATCTCGTGCATTTGTAGCATTTAGCAAATGAAAGGGACTGATGGAAAGTTCCTCTGAGGATATTGTTTCACCTCATTTGTTCATATTCTCCGCTAGAATGATGACTTAGTGGAAGCGAAGCCGAATAGGGAGTCATGTAACACAGCAATAGCTTGACACAAATGTCAAATTCAACCCATTTGCACTTCGGTGCTGTTTATAAGTTTAATACTTATACTTTGTATTTATTAATGGAGGCTCTTCCAACATAAGATAGTGAAACACACGGTTTTTAGAGAAATTTCTGAGAATGTTTTCGGAAGAATCCGCAAAAAATGATCAGTTCTCCATTAGAGTCTCGAGACCCGTCGAATGAAACCTCAATTGTTTGGATTCGGAAATCTGATATATGCACATCTGTTCGAATCTCCGCAAGACAAATTAATCGGTATCGACGATAATAAATTATTTCTATTAAAATGTCATGACAATAATGATCATTTACAGCTCCAAGTAAAAAGGAGTTTCTTAGGATAAGCAAAATAGCAAGATAAATAGCAAAATACTCGGCACGGGCTTTCTTCATGTTCAATCCTTTTGAAAGAAGAGAAAGATACATATTAAATACACCAAGGTGGTTAAGATTATTATTTTTAATGTAATTGGTTCAAGAGTTACTAAAATACTAAAATTTTATTTTATTTTACAGTACATTGCTATTGGATTAAACTTTTTAAGCACTGCTACTGATCTTTAGCGGAGTATTAGGTAGTTATTCTGCTGCACCGTTATTAGCCTTTGGCGGAATTTATTAGGTATTGCTAGGATCTGCCACAGTATACGTAGTTCTGCCGCACCGCTGCTGGCCTCTGGCGGAATATATGAGGAACGAATCCTCTTAGTAACAGACGAGAAAATGTTATTGTGTTGTATCTACCAACATATTTTTTAAATTATTTATTTTTCACATTTGTGTTGTAATAATCTTTACCAACGCAAGGCCACAGTGACAAACTTGAAGAAGAGTCTACACGAATTTCATATCTATTCATACACTCCTTTTTGTGGTATCGATGTTGGTTACATGTTGTTGAATTCACTTTTATTAGTATAGATTTATCTTTTGCAGGTTATGTTGAATCTTTTGAAAGATCCTGAAGCAACTCCGGTATTTTTAAAGAGCCCATCTTTTGAATTCCCATCGATAATACGTTTACTGCAAAGTGAATATCCGCTCATTCAAATGGTGGCAATCGACGTTTTGGATATGTTAACCAAACAACGAGAAAATAAGGAAATCCTGGAAGCATTTCGTCTGGCAAAAGGCCTTGAGGAACTTATGGACATTTTAGAGGTACTTCATTGTGTCAATTTGGCGAGTTAACTTACAATCATCTGGCATCTTACCATCAGACATACAGCATGCTGTCGTTTTAGTTTAATAAGTTACTCTAAAAAAAATAACATTACCGAAAATTTAGTGCTAAATTAAAATTTGAAACAAACCGAAGTTTTCAGGTATAATGGTGTCTTAATTAATTTCTTCAAAGGCAAGACAGTTTAATTTTAAAATCTCATTTGAAGTAGTATCAAAGTGTTTGTGTTAAACTCACTCCATACTTGAATTATGGTTTCTCACTGTGAGAACAAATGTGTCTCCAGAATCATGGATATTTGAACTTTAGAAATAACCATTTTATCTCATCATTGAGCTTTAGTCACTTAACCTTATTTGGTCACAATTGACGTATAATCGAGCAAGTTTTCTTGATACACGAGCGCCCTAGTTCTCACTCAGCGCTGAATAGCACGGCACGTTGAGATACTTAGGTTCGACTCGCAACGGCACGTACCAATTTACAATGCTGGCAACAATAACCTCGTACATTCTAAACAATCGTAACATTTCTTGTGGCACTCTTTGGCGTATTAACTTCATGCCCTCAGTTGGCACACCCTTTTAAGCAGTAGCCTAAGCCCTCCTCTCCGCGCACCCCCCGCTGTGGAATATCAAGAAAACTTGCGCGTATATTACGAGTCCCCTGCCCTCAGTTAACTTCACTGCGTCGCTATACCCTGGTGTACCTTGATAGTAGCCTCCACTTAGCCTCTCCCTAGTGACTCGTAAGAACTACGGTTAGTCCATCCTAAGCCCGTGACAGCGCTTGCACCATATCACCGGAAGAGAGGGTTGGTGACGACCAGGTGGCGCTCTCGTCTGAGTAGGGATGCGACATGATGCCGAAGTTTTCAGAACGTAAATCTATTGAAGTCTATGTTTTTTGAACATCGATATTTTGTGCTCAATGTTTTTACGTTTTCGACGTTTTGTTTGTGGATGAAAAATTCACATAACCACAAGTTTGTAAAAGTTAAAATGTAATATTTAAAAATCAATGTTTGTTTGTCGTTCGTATTTGATGAGCTGCCATACCGTTCATCCGATTACGATTGCTTGCACTTGCGCGAAGAATATAGGTGTAGTGCAAGGCGAATGTGCGTATGTGTGTTGCAAATAGATGCAACATGGAGGTGTTGTTGATGATGATTTAATGCGTGACTTATGCGCTCCCTGAACCGAAGCACTACGCAACCCGCCGCAACCATCCTCAAACATTAAGCGCGACTTCGCTGCATCTTCTGCTCCAGCAATTGTGAAATATACCACTTAATACCACTTATTCTTCAAGTCTAAAGAAATTAAGATTTTGAAATTATGGAACAATACCATCACCATTCACTGTGAAACACCATTCGAATTACATTTTAAACAAAACCAGTTAGTGTTCTAAATACAATTATTATTATGATTATTATTATTATTATTATTATTATTATTATTATTATTATTAATGTTTTAAAACAGTTTAGTATAACAGTTGCGAAGCTCCCTATGTCTTTTTTCATTCAGTGTGACCTCGGCGCTCGCAGTGGCGAGCAAGAGGTAGCACCAGTTCGTTGAGGTGCGGCATATACATTTGCATCCTGTTTACATGAGAATTAGAGCTTCGCAACTGTTATACTAAACTGTGGTTTTAACAACTCTACATAAATTTGAATGAAAATGAAAAAGTAATTAATTTTTTTTCCAGATGTATGATTGGAAGGATTTACACCCTGGAATTTTGACTATTCTAAAAAATGTTGCTGACAATCCATCAATGATACAGCATATGAGCACATCTAACTTTATAAGACGCTTGTTACAATATTTGGGTGACATAAATGATGCTTCTCTAATGGAGACGACTTTAGATGTTCTAGGTAAAATGGCTACAACTGAAAGTGGAAGAAAAGTATGTTTTTAATGAAATTCTGAGTATTTTTTTTGTAATTATAACAAGATACTACAGTTCTGTTTACTTTGTATTACAGATGTTGATGGATAACAGCATAACAGAAACTTTACTCAAATATATGCGTGATGAAAATGCGGCTATCACGAGAGCAGCTTGCATAGCCGTAGCAAATATGATGTTGAATCAACACGCACTTGAAATATTTAGTAAGGATAATCCACTTCGTGAAATTATGGGGATAATAAAGAATGAAGCATTTGCGTGGGAAACAAGGCATGGTGCAATGTTAGCCTTATGCAGTATGATACAAAGAGACAAATCTATTTGCGAATTATTTTTAAACTTACACCAACAGGTGAGAATTCTTCCTTTAGTTAAAAGTTCTCGATGGAGGGTTATCTCAGGCATGCTTAATAGAACTTCAAGGCATTAAATAATAAGTGTTATAACTTTCAATTAAATGCATGTAACACGCTTTTACCCATCATTAGTCCGGCCGGTAGGAACATTTTACCTGTAAAAATGGCATAAAATTGTCTTTGAATATGTTTTATATGACAATTGTATATGTTGTTAAAGCGCCCAGTTTTCGACCTCGTCCTTGTGCTAACTCCACGCGGCCTGACAAAGCGGTAATTGTTTCGGACTTTTTTTCGGATTTGTATCTATAATTCTTTAAACTTAAGTCCTGTAGAAAAATGATTCAGTTCTGTTCTAAAGAGGATAAAATTTTCTACAACTTTTCTAAGACATTTTTTTCGAAACCAATTAACAAGCTAGCTACAGCTTTTCAAGAAAGAAAAAAAGATATGTTTTTCATTTCTCCAAAATGTATAATTATTATTACACGCTTATATTATTATTAATTGATAATAATTTGTTTTGGACATGAAGCCCGAAGATGGAAATAAATAATTTCCGAAACGTTGCTGCTACTACTTTGTTTCAGGAAGCTTTGCTTCACATATTGAAACAACCACCAGGAAAAGTACCAATGGAAGTATTAGTAACAATCCTGCATTGTTTTGCTGTATGCGCTGTTGCGGAAGATACTCGAATGAAAGCATTAGATACAGATTTTATAGAACCGACTTTACATCACTTAGAGGTACGAGGGATATGCTTTTTGAATACGAAACAAATGTGTAGTACATAATTGTGTACTTTATTATTATTATTATAATTATTATTATTATTATTATTATTATTATTATTATTTTGTTAATGTTTATTTTCATTTTTATTTTTATGTAGATACTTTGTTATTGTGTACAATTACAGTATGTTCAGAATGTCTCAGTGTGTTCTGTAAAAGCAGGTAATGAAGGTTGTCCTAGTCATACATGTGTCTTCTTGGGATCAGCGAGACCTTTTTGAGAACATTTAACGCGAAGGTATTGACGTCTGCCGAGGCACCGCCATTAACGCAGCTGTAGGACCAATGGCCTTCCTTTCACATTATCGCTATAAAGTTATGTTAATCGTCGAAAGCTGATTTCTTTTCTCTTTCTGCGACGAGGGTTTGGTCGAAAAGTCGCACTTTTAACGTCATTACTTAACTTGCGAATTACTGAACTTGTGTATTGTTGTAAAAATCTGTGACATCCAAGGAATAGCACGTGCAACGAGTATAACTGCGAGGAAGTACAATTATACATTCTTCATTTGCGTATAAAAGTAGAATGCCAATCACAGACGGTAGCCAGATTATTATACTCCAGATCAAATACTGATTATTTATGCAATTTTACTATTTAATAGACGCAGTATTATTGTACATATTTACGATTATTTTCAGGTTCATGTAATAAGTGACGTTATTTTCAGTGGGAAAACTTACCAAATGCAACTTCAGCCCTTGCAAGACTATCTTTATGTAGTGTGTTTAGAATACGCTAAGTTACAAATTAAAATAATCTTAATAAATGAGAGAACTATGAAATGAAATGAATGAGACAACTTTGAAAATAGATTTTTTACTTAAAAACTGTTTGTACTATCTTCAGGTAGGGAATTGATGCAAATAGCCCGTAAATATTTACGCTGTAATACTGGAAAACATATATTTAATTATATTTTCTTAGCGGTTTTTTTCTAAGAAGACCAAATAGATACTTTGTTTATCTCTACAAATACGACGAATAGGACACCCTTCTCATGCTTTGCTTTGCCATTTAAAACGAGTGAATTTTGTTTTCAGTCTCCTGATGCACAACTTTGTGTAGCAGCTTGTTTTTGCTTGGGGGCTTATTCGTGTGAAGCTCATGTTCGTGAACGTTTCCTATCGGGAAAAGGCCCCGCAAGGCTTATGGAATGCCTCAAAAGCCCTTATATGCCCGTCCGCCAAGCTGCTTCATCGCTTTTACAATTAATGGGGTTAGATGCTAAAGTTGCAGACGCATTCATAACCACCGGAATTTTGGATTGGTAATGTCTTAATTCTGTTTGGAATGTTGTGATAAGTTTTTGTGATGTAAATATCTATGATAACGAATGATTCGACGAAATAAAATACGCCTGAAGTTAATCAATAATTTCATATGAACTTTCCTAAAATATTGTAGGATGATGGGGCAGAAGAAAACCAAAAACGCGTGTCCTACATGGGAGACTGCAATTGAAACCCTCTTCAAAAGCTGCCTACCAGCAAAGTTTTTTTATTTGGGACACGTTGATATGCAGGACAATACAGGAGAAGTATTTTATGTGATGAAAAGGTTAAATAAACCATTTATGATTCTGGATGAACTTTTAGCCATACGAGCTTCTCCTAGATCAATTATGTTGGTTGCTAACTTCGGCGTGAATCCTCCTTCTTCCGCAAACACAGAGAAAGGTAAAATGTATTATTAGAAATATTATATTTTATATAATAGTGATAAAAGCCCATCATTTTTAATGTTTTATTTCATGAGTCAATTGTTTCTCAATTGAACAGGAAATATGCGTGATTGAAAAAAAAATCAGGAGAGGGATGCGCAGAGAGACTATTATTTATTTAATTAAATTATTTTTTATGTAGAAAACTAGTGTTATTGAGAATGTAACAGACTTTCTCGTACTAATTAGTTTCTTAATCTCTTTTGCTAGTTTTTCAGGTTTGTCGCACACTCTTATTAGTTGCTACCGTTCGGCGCCTAAAATGCATTTTTCCCCAATTTACACAATTTTCCGGTTTCTCAATAGTGGAATCCAAATAAGAAGTTAAGAATATTGTAGATAAGTACCTGTTTCTATATGCAAATTCTCATTAACAACTGTGAACCAATTTTTTCAGAAATTGTTCTTTCCGCTTTTCTGAAAATGCACGATTGTGAGCCCATTTACACAGAAAAGTTTTGGGTTCTCGACAAATTTCATCAGAAATAATTGGAAACACTTGTGCTTCCAAATCCGATATTGTACTACAAAGTACGTCTGTAATGCAAATATTAACGACTTAGATAAATTTAAAAAAATACATTGGTGTAATTTTTTAAATATAAAAACAATACATCAATATGACGTTTGTCTCGTGATGTTCAATGTATTTAGCTCTCTCCTATCAAAAAATTCAAGAAAACAGTTTGAGCAGTTTTTGAGAAAATGCAGTTTAAGCGTTTCTGAAAAGTCGCAAATTTGAACTAATTTTAACAAAAAACGTTCGAAATTTCTAGCCCTTATCTTCACGTTGTAACATACATATTACATTATCTGAGGGTTCCTCAGCCGTCTTAGACTGGTAAAGCAAATTGTTGAAATTTTATATACTCCATAATCCAAGCAAGTGATAGATGTTAGGTACCATTCAACACTTCGAGAACGACTGCCTCAAGTTTGTGAATTCATACGTAAGCCATTTCTCGCTTTCTGGAGTCAGCGTGCCACTGAGTGTGTTTATTTTTTTCTTCATTTGGCGGCAATTTAAATCTTCAAATTGAGGAAAATAATACATAGATGTATCCTTTAGCAATTTTTCAATTGTTTAATGCTCTATAAGATGTATGTAGGTTTTTACTGGGCTCTAAACGTTTGTAACACATCTGTTACATTATCAAATCCATTGCAAAATATAAGAGGAATCTAATCACATCTTTTGTACAAAGTCTTTTGATGTTCATTATTATACGTCAAAAGCAGTGGCACAGCCAAAGGGGGATGATGGGGCTTCATTCCCTCAGAAACCAATGATCGTAACCAAAATTGGACCTTTTACTAATTTACTAATAAGCGAAAGCCATTCAATATAACTATTGGTAACATTATAAAGAAATTGTAACGTTATATAACCCTTTAAGAGCGGAAAAATACGTCTCTACTCCGCGCTCCGAAAGCAGGGTCCAAATTCTGAAGAGGAGAATGACTTTGATCTGATCCTGAGGAGCTGTTATTCAGTATTTTTGAGAGAAAATCAACTTTAGGAGATTTTTGATCTGCCTCCCACATAATATTGATACGGCTTAACCAAATTTGTAGGAATGTTTTACATTGCCTGGCAATGGTGGTCTCCGCACACCGCAAATTGATTCGCCTCCTGCCTGTTCTGAAACCCATGAACCAGACAACGATGTCCATGCGACTGTAGTTACGCCGCCAGCTAAATATCCCACGGTGAAACAAAGCAACGAAAGGGCAAATATCAAAATTTTGGCAAAAATCCCGAATGGATACTTTTTTATTGCAACAACTAAAAATAGCGATTTTTTTAACAGGATTGTTTTTTTTTCCACATATACTTGTCAATGTAACATAGCTGTTACATAGTTAGATTTACCAGAATTTAGCAATTTAACATAATCGTCACAAATTCATTTCTCGCAGTAGGTGTAACATGTATATTAACGACATGAGAAATATTAAAACAAATGGTGCTACAGAATGGCGCGCACATTATTTCGTATATCTCTTATTACTTAGTTCGCTAATCAGTTTCGTCTGAGCTTTTTCGGTTGTGTCTTCACCCCCTTCCTACCTACTACCTACATGCGTCTAAAAGACATGTTTTCACGTTTCCTCAAATTTTCACTTCCCTAATAACGAATTAGAACTTGTGATGCTGCTATAGCACATACTTTCGTGAATTGTTTCTATCTTTTTCAATTTTCGAAAATTCAAAGAGATCAACAAAAATAAGCCCTGAGCAATTTTTTAGTGTTTTTGTTCTATCTGAGGAAAAAATTAAAGAAAACGATTGGACCCATTTTTGAGAAAAAAGTGATAAATTACCTTTACTCCAAACAAACATTACACGAAAACCAATGTTTAAAAAAAAATTAACTAATTGAATAACGATTATTTGGATCAATCGAATATTGAAACGAGATTGCTTACCAAATTGTTAAAAAAATTGGAGCGGGTTTCGAGAAAAGTTGAATTATTAATATAGCCCATATTTCACTTGAAATTGCCTCCAAACTACGTATAATTTCGAAAAATATATACAGCATTAGTTAAACTAATTGTAGAGGACAAATCGAGGGTATGATTCTGATAAGTAAGGTTGCTCGTAATTCGTTGTGATTCAGCATTGATTTAACGAGTGCTCGTCTGCATTATAATTCGTCTATCCTTCCTAGCAGACGGAGACACCTTCCATTGACACATCAATTAGAACTACTTGCGTTGTTGTTTTAACCCGAATCGATGTTAACTATTCACACGATGGCACGTGGAAATGCTAATCACTTCATCAAAATCATTTTATCAAATGCAATTTATCAACTTTGTTTGTACTGAACAATAAATTTAATAAAATTCTCAGGACTGTATTTACATATATGTACGTTTTGTGTCCATTTGTGATAATGGTTTGTACTTCGCGCGTCGGCCCGTGGCCTCCCAGCGATGTCCCGACCTCACGGCCATGGGTTAAGGGAGTTGTGGTTAGCACGAAGACATCCCCACTCCGTATTCTGGTCTTCTCAACCCGAGAAGTGAATTTTCTCATCACCGCACAGCAACGTATACTGGGGCATTGTAAGGAAAACACTATAATGTACACTATAAGCACACTATAATCTTGCCTTACCGGGAAACGAACCCGGGGTCGTGTCATGGAAAGAGGGCATGCTGACTAATGAGCTAAGCCGCCAGGCATTTGTGTTAATTAATTAACTTAATTATTAAATTCTTCGGAGGAAAGGCAGATGAACCATTTTTCTTGTATTTTTGTTCTACTATTTCTTCTGACTTTTTCTCTCCATTATTTGAAACAGTTTTCTCATCAGTAAATAAATACTGTTCAACAGACCTTAATTTATTTGTTCTCTCTTTATAACCTAATACAAGAAATATATTTTATAACATTATTAACCAGTTTTAAATGTTCATTTTAATTAGTTCTTATACATATTACTTTTAATTATCGCCTCATGACGTGCTCTTTCAGGACGCAGATCAAAGGTTCAAGAGAACAGACGTGGAACAGTTACCAGAAAGTCAACAGACTCAGGTTCGCCAAGGACAAGAGAAGAAAGTGACAGTGAATTAGACACTCTTCAATATGACCAATATTTAATAGAATATTTAGAGCAACTTAGGAAGCTCCTGAAGGTTGCAGAAGAAAAGTAAGTGTTGTGTGTTGCGTTTAGGTTTCAGCGGCCGGATTCAGTATTTACTTGGCTGTCTGGGAGACGCCGTGTTCTATGCACAGGGGCCAAAGTTTCCGCGCCATTCTGCGACATTCCTCTGAACGAAATGAGCGGAGATGGTCAGGAAATGAGTTGACTCCACCAGTCACCCGGTTGGGCGATCACCCGGCCGATGCGGAGAGAGCATCGGGCAATCAAAATCAAGGAACAGGCCCCCTGAGCGGGTGGGAGAAGCCGCTCTTCCCACAGTCGGACGAGATGAAGCAGCAGGGACCGCGTCCTGAGGCGACCGGGAGGTGTTGTAAAAAAGTTGTTCCTCAATGGTTCACCCGCCTCGCCGATGTAACTGTGGCCGCAGCTGCATGGGATCTCATACACCCCTGATGACATAAGAGACGTCTTTAATGCGTCCAAGCTTTTACCCGAGTTTTCATAGGCTTTGTAGGCCTTTATGTCGAAGCGGCTCAAAAGATTGCCAATTGTATCAGTTAATCCTTTTATATAGCGTAGGATGGCCATCTTGCGGTTGTCATCGTCAGTATGTGTGGTGATGTTAGCGTTCTAAAGGTGGCTGCCTGCCGCAAGGCTTGGTTGGCAGCTTAAAATGTGTCCTTGAGAATCTCCATTTGAGTCCAAGAATTCCTCATCATACTCTCTAGTTGCCCTGATGGCCACAGTTTCCACAACCCCCCGTTTAGTTGCCGGGTGATTGTGAGAACCGACGTGCAGCTAGCGGTTGGTATGAGTGGGTTTTCTGTACACACTATGCTCTAGACTGCCGTTAGCTTTCCGAATTACCAACACGACGAGAAAAGGCAATCTACCCTTGTTTTCCACCTCCAAAGTAAACTTACTTGGGGGGGGGGGTGTTATTGAGGTGCTGGAGAAAGTAGCTAAGGCGTGAGGGCCGTATGGCCACATTACTATCGTCCATGCACCAACGCCATAGTGGTGGTTTACGTGGGGCACTCTCCAGGGCTTCTGTTTCGAAAGCGTCAATGAATAAGTTCGCCATCGCACAAAAGAGGGGAATCTAACCCTATATTAACTCCTGCGCTGCCCATCTCCCTGCCCTGAGGAAGGTCACAGAATGGCGGCTGAAACGTTGGCACCTGTGCCTAGGACGCGGTGTCTCCGGGATAGCCAAGTAGCTTGTGCAGTGTCTTTCCATGAATATGAACAATCGTTAATACAACGCAAATAAGAAAATGCGTTTTTAAGAAACTTGGTAGCGCATATTCTAAGAACGCTCCTGCTTTGTCGATTTACAAGAGAAATAGTTCAGTATTCACACAGAAACCATTTTCCTGTTTTAGTATCTAATACATTAGATTTAATAGATTTATTGTATCAAATTTAATTGTGAGTACACTATATTATTATGGAGAAACTTGTTTGTTTGTTTTTTTTTTTGCTTCAAAAGAAGTGTTTACGCGAGGCGAAGTAAAAGGAGGAATTCTCTTTCCATCCCTGCACCTCTGGCCCGTAGTAAGATAAGCGTTTCTCTTCTGGATAAGAATTTCTCCAGTGTCACCATTCACTTTGAGATGATAAATTTTATTCAGTCAATTGTAAAAACCGTGTACACAAACATAAATGGAGTATGATCTGGGTATATAGAAATGGGTGTCACATTTGGAAGTCATGCTGATCTAGTAACAATAATTATATCTGAGCCAAATTCCACGGATGAATTGTTTTGTGTTAGTCTTACTTTCAATTCTTTATTGACTACTTAATAGTGGATTTTCTTTTGTAGATGTGTTCGATTTACAATTCCTCAAAAAGTAGCTGCATTGGGAACTTTTGTAGCAAACAAAATGTGTGGCATGTCAAAAGGAAGAACTTGTACCAACCATTTATGCAACTTACATATTACGGAACTCAAGGTAGTGGAAGTTTTTTTCATAAAAATGTTACGCAAAGTGTAATCCTTCTTTTTACGTTCTCATCTAACTACGTATGTCATAAAGAGAAAATATTGTAATCGTACAGTGAAAATGGCAATTTTTCGACAAAGAGTCTCTTATCATCAATCCCTAGAAACGAAACGTTGTTGAATCTTGTTCCTACATGCAGTAAATTACTTCCTCTAACACGGTGAGTAGTCATAATCCATATTTTGGGGGTTCTTGATACCGAAAAATCGACTGACGGCAAGACCTCTGGCAGTCTCTCTCTCCGTCCGTCCGTCCGTCCGTGGTCAAGGAAAACGCATGAACTGTTCACATGGTTTTCTTAAAAACGTGATGAAAAAAGCAATTGAATTGTGTAAATTGGGTGCTTTTATTATTGGGTGTTAAATTTTCTTTGTGAAGAAATATATTAATTTCTTTTGTAAATAATAAACAATTTACATATATCTGGAGTGTTTATATGTTTCTGAAATACAAATTTTTGGATGGAAAGTCGTTTTTCAAACCAACCTTTGAGGGCTTACTGCGGCTCAGCAATTCAAAATATCGAAGGAATTCATTAGATAAAATATGCTTAAAATTGTCTCAAGAACTTATTTTCGAAGTTTCGTTGTTTCCTCTCTGGATACCTATTGTTCGTATACTTTATTCAAAACTACATTATTTGTGCACGTGATCGTCGATGACATTTTGTATATATAATCTTTAAAACAAGAGGAAAATTACTGTGTCTACTTATTATTTCGCAAAAACTACCGTCATCAAATTTTCCCCAATCCTTAAGAATTTAAGGGAGCACTCTTAGTTTTTATCGCGAATATCTTGAAAACGGGTAGGAAATTCACAAAATTGAATCAAACGTTTTTTAAGTCCATAACATTTTCTATTAAACGTTACACATTTTAATTAATTCCAATGCGTGAGTGTTAATCATTTAACAATACAATCAATTCATTCACAATAGTTGTTTTCAAGCTTGTGTACTGAAGCAGGAGCGCGACCGCGCGATAAGTTATTTTCCGATTCTAGCCAGAGGTTTCAGGATATAGAGCCATACAATCGTTTTTCAATGCGCTCCAGATGTTGAGCCATTTGCCACAAAATGCCACAACAAGCAGACATTTCTCAAGGTGGCAAACGTCAAATTTGAATTCACTGCCCCCAAAAACATGGAGAACCTGGGAGAAAAGCTTCGAAATTTTTTGCTGGTCTGGATATTATTTAACTGGACTTACAAGAACTGCTCTGGCCAGATTAGCCTCTAACAATGGGTCAAATTAAAAAGATTTATATTGCATTTTTGCAAGGGGCCTGGAATTAATAAAATAAACCTGGTCACATGTGGGTGTAGAGACCAATATTCTATGAAGTGCCATTTTTGTGCGTTTCTAGTGTGCAGGAGAGGGGTGTGTGGCTGTGAGTACGTGTGTGAGTTTAAGTAACTAGTTTATCTTGTTAACTACATAAATAAACGATTATAATACATAAATATACATTTACTACAATGATGTTTGTTCATATTTATTTTCAGTTGGACCTCTCTTCTAGTATTATTCCATTGGGGTTTATCAGAGTTGGGATGCATTTTGAACGAGCAATGCTTTTCAAGGTTTTGGCAGATCAAGTAGGCATACCTTGTGCACTTGTTAGAGGAGAATACGGAAGAACCTGGATTGAAGTTGCTGTTCCGGAAATAGAGCCCATTGAAGTAAACCACTCATTGCATGTTGAAGATCTGCCAAAACGACTTCTCAAACCAAATTGTGTGGTAGACCTCATGGATGAACCTGGGAAATTGTTAAAAATTGGATCTTTTGAGGCAGCAAGATACTGTGCTCTTCCTTCAGCATTAATTTAAATTATAATTTAGAACACAAAAAATATTACATGATAAAACCATACCTAAACATCTTGAATGTTCATAATTCGTAAGTTTTCACCTACCTAACATTTTGGAGTGAACTTACATATTTCTTAAACAAAGGCTTCATGAGGGCAGATTAACACTTTTTTAAAAATAATTTTCATTGAGGAGTACTGACCTCCTTCTTTCTGATTCTTAAAGCTATTCACTGTGGCCCTGAAATTAAAATTTCAGTGGACTTGCAAGTGAAAATATTTAATAACATGCATAAAGTGTGAGATGGGTATTCCATTAGTATTTTGTGTTTACAATTGCTCATGTATATTGAATGTGATTATTTTAGGCATGAAAACTAGTGTTAGTCTTCAAATGGAAAATATCATAACATTCAATTTTTTAATTACAAATCGTACATGAATTGAGATTTATAAATGGAACAAATACAAAGTTAACATTACAGAACTATTTATCATTTAATTTTTGCATCCAATTTTCAAAAATAAATAAAAAGATGATATCTCTCCACATATTAATTATAAAATTTAATAGTATATTTGATACTGCATTCAATTACTATGTAATGTATTTTGCATTTATTATAATTTTAAAAACAATAAATAGTTTTCATTTCAATGTGACTTATCATTTATTTTTAAGCGTCTTTTAATTTGATTATTTTAATCAAATACGTGCCTTCAAATATTTGATAATAAATGAGAGCACAATGGCAAAAACGAGACAAAATTTACAGAATGGGAAACAGAAAGTAAGAGCACAATCACCAACATGGAAGAAAAAAAATTAAAAAAGGACAATATGTCCCACTGCTGTCCATTACAGGGAAAACAAATGCAATGCTAATCAAAATGAAATAGTGGTGATTGTGTGTATTAATTACACGGAATACCCATGAGTCAGAAGTACAAAACTGGTTAAATCCAATAGACATTTGTGGAAAGTGAAAATTTTTGCTATAGAAAGATATCCAGCAGAGTGAAGTATATATTAGAAGAAGTTTCACTCTGTTTAAATTATTTTAAGTGTAATTCAATTATGTCACCCCTCATTGACAATAACTTACCTCTGAAATTATTTGTGTAGTATATCAGTATTCCATACGAGCTTTTCTGTTGCGAAATTGTCCATAATCCGGCTTTTTATGGCACAAATGATGATGTATTAGCATTTTATGGCGTGTATGATTGCGTTGTCACGCATTCAGCCAACCGCAGTGCGAAAATCATGGGCAGGTAAAGGTATACGGAACAGCTGACCACGGTTTTCTCGCACAGATGGCAAATACAGTCTTGTGCCCGAAATGACACAAAAAAAGTTTTTTCACAAAATTAAGTTTGATTTGCTTATAAATTTATAATGCTGTTATACAAAAACAGCGTATGGAACTTGTTTATAATGTTGCTTTATGCATTCGTAGAAGGATCCCGATATTTAAGGGATTAAGGAATAAAATAGCATTGTTTATGAAAAAAATTTCAACTTTGATATTTTCATTATATTCATCTATTATGTCACTGCTTAACTCATCTCATATATTCACATTAAACATATACATTATGTATATACACACACAAGACCAATACTGAACATTTTATCAATAACACACAAACATGACTACAAGATTGTGTACGTTCCACAGCTAAAACTCAATCACACAGTCAATGCTGCAGTTCTAATATCAAGCACTTCTATTTACAAGTAACACTTAAAATAAAGAACTATATGAGAACATGAATTAAAAGGTTACAAGAAAGCACTAAAAAGCTATGAACCTTTTGAAAATAAGTATGTACTTACATTAATCTACAAAGCCACAAATAAATAGCAATAACTTTCAAATTTTCTCAACAATGTCTGAGCACATCCATCAGAATCATTAAATGCACTAAACAAAATTCCTACACCTATTTGCAATGTAGTGAGATTTTGAAGATCTATGATTTTCGAACAGTGTAAATCGTTTTTGATTTTCAATTAACTCATTGAAAATTTATTATAAATTTAGAAAATAAATCTTTTTCAAGCGAATAAGCTTACCCGACAAGCTGCCAATTGAGACAATTACATAAATAGATGTAGGAATGTTAAAGTTGATCAAAATTTGACAAAACATTTTACACAGTATTTTCCAAAACCATTACACCTGCAGCATGGTATGATAATGCTATACTTAGGAGTTTTTTGTTCAATCACAGGACCAATTAATGTCTTTAACATAATAAATAAACACTTTGAATTGTGTTTCCATGATTCTTAAATAAATAAAAAAAAAGCACATTGACATTGTAACTGTCAAAATACCAAATTGAAATTGAGACAAATACACATTCGCATTCTTTATTTTCCTGAATTTGAATATGATAAAATATAATATTTATTCTTTTTCCAATAATAACTAAAATAACAAAAGAGATCATTCGTCTTTAGTATATATTTTTATGGAGTGAATTCGAATTGTACTGTCACCAGGGAACTTTCATCACAATTTCTTGAGAAACTATTTTTCAACCAATTTTTATTTTGAATTGTAATTCCTTGGAACATTTAACACTTATATAAATGAAATTGGTGGAAAGCATTTTAAACAACTTCCTTTTACTTTCATTCTTTTACATTTTATTTCCTTTTTATTACATTCATTTCATTATTTTACTTTTATTCTTTAATTTTGGAAATTATTTCAACAGAAATTTTATTTTATATTCATATTATTTCATTTATTTTTTGGATGAAACGTTAGGTATTACATCTTTGAAGACCTTCCTTGAGTTCAAAATTCATAACCAAAAAATCGCTACCAATAAGAAAATGTGTACTTCCTAACAATTGACACAATACTCTATAAAAGAAAATCAATATCTACTATGACTCATCAGTCCACAACAAATAAATTTTAATTGTTTTATAAACCAGAAAGAGAAAGATCCTTTCCAATGAGAACATGTCGTTTTACTTTACACCATTTATTTAATGGAAAAGCTTTTTGTGTCTCATTTACTATGATCATAGAAATTTTAACTTAGTTATTAGAATTGTATGTTTTGATAAACAAATAGGGTATTAGTCCAGTACATTTCCTTAGTATTCAACAAAAAATGGATATTTGATTTGCACCAAAATAATTCAGTAGTTTTTTGAAAAATTTACATTCAATATTTCCTGACAGTAGATTTGCATCACCCTTCAATAACGTACATGTATTTCAAACCTCAAGTCATACCTTTCAGGTTAAAAAAAAAAACAATTGAGCATTTCTGAAAAAAGATAAAAACATTTATCTACTGGAAACACTTATTTTTTTTAAAACCAATATTTCAACACAACCCATAAAAAAATATTGTTTTAACAAGAGCCTTGTTATAATAGTTCAAATTTGGGGGTTAGAGTTTAACAAAATTACAGAATTATGAGATGTGTATTGAACAATCTCAAGGAAAGAGAAAGAAACTTTTCTAAGTTCTTCAGAAGGCTGGAAGAAACCAACTTCTGAATTGTGCAAAAGTACAAAAACACTACTTCCAAAACAAGCACATGTATCAAATGATTTCTAAACCACATAAACATCTGATTCAACGGTCAATTCTTCTCAACATAAATGACTTGGTCCCTAAGACATATAGCAGATACAAAATACAATACACATTTATTTATTGATATTACTGACAGATTTTACTGCTTGTATTACTGATCGTTGTATGGATGAGTTATTTATAATCTATGCAAATCTTGCCCCCCAAATATTATGTCATGACTTCTATGGGCAAAGATTTCAAGTCTTCATTCGTGTTCAAGTGAATATAAAATATATATTAACATAACAAGTAAGAATAATATAAATGAAAAAGTATAGACATAATTAATGACCTACGAGGTAAATTGAAGGGTACTTCATGAACATACATTAAATACATACTTAATGACTGGAGATAACACATATGCCAATGTTATCACAGACAAATAATGAGGTTCTTCTATTGGTATTTATACACTATCACAGAACTCCAAAATGAAACATTCTTTATATGTTTCATTCATTTTATACACTTAATTTTGAAATGTATTCACAATATTCACAGAAATTTACATTTCTAAATATCCCGTAGATGCAATCAAGACAAAAAATTGTCAGAAATACTTCCCTGCCAGCATCCAACATATTTAACTCCCTAAGAAGCAGTATTATTTTTTTGTCTGCAATAATTCAACTGCATGAAGTTACCCAGATGTAGACAACTGTGTAAAATACAGTTATTTTCAAGTTAGCTAATCTTAAAATGCATGATCTGTTATAGCAAACTTTCAGTTATTAATTGACTTCCTCAAATCATAGCCCAAGGGTTATGAAATATGAGTATAATTTACAACTGTCTAATAAATTTAGGCAATACTATATTTTAAAAGTAAGGTGTCTTTCAAATTCAAATATTCTACTAAGAATTATACTAATTCAAATATAAAATTAAGTTAAAAATAGTATTAATCAAAAAATTATAACTTATAGCCCGGCCAGTGGTTGTTTTCCTTGGGCATATAAAAAAATGCAAAACAGAAGACAGAAAATACAAGGGACACTCCACAAGTGCAAATATTTTCAAGAATTAAAAAACAATTGCAGAGAGGTAATGCTTTAAAATGAAAGATATAAAATGTCAAGTTTAAAGCATATCTTTTTCCACACCTATTTGAGAATAGCAAATATGTTAAACAAAGAGTTAATGCATACAAGTAAAATAGAGAGTCTTAGTAAATTGTGATTTCTACTTTCCCGTTCTGAATTTGATGATGTAAACATAGAACTAAAATTTTAACTACAAAGTTCACAGCCAGAAAACAACTCCAGAAAGATTAAATAAACAAGGGTAATAAATGAAATGGTAGGATGGAGAATAAGTCTGAGCATTATAATAAAACTGACATTTGCATAAAATGCTTTACTTCTGTGATAGTTGTAATTCTGTATTCCTCAATTGCTGAATGAAAAGTTGAATGATTTCCTGCATCAACAATTGAGCAAAAATCAATAATGAAGGATAAAATCACTTAGTACTTTTGTTTCTATTCAACATGTATATTTAAAAAAACTGAGAGACCTAGTTTTCAAAACGTAGATTATGTGATTCTCAGCAATTACATTTCACATTTTGGAGATCTAATATGGTTTCTTCATTTCCATAAAATATTTGCAATTGTGTGGTTTAAGAAAAAACTAAAACATAACTTCAAAACTTTTTTAAATAGATTTTCAATACATCACAAAACATGTTTTGAAATTACATTTCTTGAACACAATTACACTGTAGAAGAACAGATAATGTTCTACAAGGCTTTTGTCTATACAAAATGCTCTACAGGCATATTTGGAGATGTTGCACATTTTTTTCAAGGTAACAAAAACTATTTTCTACTTTTCTAGCGGTAGTTATAGCACACGCCTTCACATTCTTTATTGCACTACAAGTTTGATATGAGTGTCTACAGAATATAGCTGCTTTCTTTTGTAGACAAAAAATATATACATATATATGCAATAAATAGCCAAAATACATATAAATAACATTATTCATTATAAACTATTGTCCTAATTGTTTGGTTGAAACTATATTACAATTATAATACATTATTACAATATGCACTGACTGCGGCAAGTCACAGTCACTTTTTCCAAAGACCATCTTTCCAAACATTTTCCCTCTTTTCATTACCACCAAAGATTTCCAAACATATCAATTTTGAAGCAACTTTAATTATCTCTTTACCCTTTTTGTGTGATTTGAGATAACAATAAACAATAAACAGTTGCAATTATTACATAATTAAAAGTAACACTTTATGTTAGAGTAATATCTCCAGAAAGATAAATACATCACTTCTTACTACAGAAAGGTGTTTCATTAAGATGTCAGCTGATAGGTCAGGGTACCTGATGCCCTCATAATACCAGAAGGCATAGTTATGGAAACAATTCCATTATATTAATGTTGACACATTATCCATATGAGTAAAGTTTTACATTCCAGCAAGATCACTATCAGAACATGTATGAAGATTATACTCAGAATCATTTAAAGATCTCCCTTGTAAGTTCTGAAAGTACTCTAATATTTTGAAAAATACAAACTTTTATTAGAAAAATTAATTATAATTGAAGTGTGTACTCCAAATTCAGTTTAATATTACAGTTACTCCATGAATTGTAATTACAAATAGTTAATGGATCAAAATCAATATTATTGAAATTATACAATTTTCATCACTTTATTAATGGCAAGATCTAAAATAGATTGTACACATACGCTTTGTCAACTAAGATAGAAAGAGTTTTTAAAATTTATTAACACCCAAAAATTTTAGCAAAGGCTTTGTCAAGAAATATGTGCACTTGAATCCGCAAAACAAGGAAATATTACAAGAAGAAATAAAATGTACATAAAAACATACATACACGTAAATAAAAACAAAAGCCTCTCTCATCATTGTACTCACCAGTGAAATTAATATCACTAAATAATCACAAACTGTATTTCGTGGTAATATCAACAGCTCAATATTTTGTTCATGCCTTCCTCAAAACGTTAATGAAACAGTAATAATACTACTCAAACCATTTCCATTCTTCTATTTTTAACAATTAAATATTTCAGCATGAGATGATGTACTCCTTTTAGAAGATATCAGGGATGTGACCGAAGTCGCGGTCCCAGTAACCTCCACTATACAACCAATCTTCTTCTTTAGTATAGGGATTCATCCCATGAGCAAACCACCTGAAATTAAAAAACATAAGAATAATCAGAAATTAACAAGAAAAATATCAGTTTCTGATCTCCAACAAACAATTAAATTAGGGTTATTAATTAACAAATAATTAACCAGAAAATTTTAGACCAATTAGTTTGATATAAACTTTGTCCAAGTTATTTGAATTTTTTTTTTAGAATATATAAATTCATAATTAATAATGATAAACATCAAGCACAATTTGGATTCTGTAATAAATAATCAACAATTCACCAATTTTGTAGCTACAAACTTTCAAACATTTTCTAGCATTATTTTTAGATATCAAAAAGGCCTTTGATAGAGTATGACATGAATTTGTTTTAATTAAAATGCGACAATTGAGATTCACTTATTATCTGTAAGAAATAACAAACTGATTTCTTTCTAATTCCAACTTTATAGTACAAATAAATATGGTACCTTCAATTGATTATTACATTCACAAAGGAGTTTCACACGATTCCTCATATTTCCCATCCTAATAATATATTTCTTTCTGACATTCATATTCTCCGAAACTCGAAAATAGCTTTATTCACAGATGATACTGCAATATTTACTTCACATAAAGATTTTAAATATAAAAGATTTTATATAAAAAGCATGGGATAAATTACAAGATAAACATTTTATGTAATTGTTTCAACAAATGAAAAATTACTATAAATTCTTCTAAATGCCAAACTTTTTTAACTCCAAAATTACTAAACTAGATAAAACTAAAATATGCCCCTGTTGGATGGTTTCCTTTACCCACCCCTGTAAAATATTCAGGCCTACAAATAGATTGCAGACTCACCTGGAAAAATCACATCACTTCAATAGCCCAGAAAAGATTTATAAAAATGGATCAATTATATGTCTTTATTAATATACAAAATTGGGGGCAAGTATAGAAACATCACTAAAAAGTTTCCAATACATTAATCGACCTTCTCTTACACTTGCCAGATTTGGGGAGGTGCTGCTAAAACTAATTTTCACAAACTAGAAGTAATTCACAATAAATTTCTTTGCTGGTCATTAAAAGTTCAGGGGTTTATTAGAATTGAACATATTCAAAAATAACTTTCCATTTAATCTTTAAGAATTTTATCCCAAAAATAGTTATTAAGATTTTATAACACTCTACTTTCCTGTCCTAGTAAAATATATAATCTTGGCGAAACAGCAAATCCTTTCCCATGAACTGAAACTTATTATCCCATGGATCTCATTCGTCCTCCAAAATGTGCAGTTATATATTTTTTTCAAATCCAATAGAATTAACTTTCAAACTTTTGTGTATCTAACATTGTTTAAACCTTAGTGTCAATTACATGTAAATTAATTGATAGTTAATTAACAGATAATTAATTGAAAATTAATTAAATTAATTTTTCATTAAATGTAAATTATTTTTTTAAGGTGATGAAGATTATCATCATTATTATTAGTATTGTTTTTTTACATTTGAATCTTTTAAAACACATAATAAAACAATGATTCTTTACTTAGGGCTCCAATCTCCTTTCTTCCCTTTGCGTGCTTTGCGTGCATCTCTCTGTTTTTCCTCTAAACGTGTTTTTTCAGCAGCTGCTCCATCAATATCTCCTTCTTCCAGCTTGCGTATATCAGGACGCAGTCTGCATAACAAAACAATAAAAAATAAACCAATAATCACATGCTTTGAAAAGGTAAAATATACAGGCAAGTAATTTCTTATACAAATTTACAAATGACTCTAGTCTAGTAAGTAATCTCTTATCTAAAATTACCTGCAGTCTGTGGGACATAGTTTTTCAGGCATTCCATCTTCCATTTCATTCAGAGACATTGCAAACAGAGTGAACTGATAATACTGAAAATAAAAATAAAATCATTGATCCCACTTAAAATATTAAATATTTCTTAACTATTACTCAAATGACATATTTCTCTGCTTCTCTTTTGTCGAAAAAGATTTTGTTTATACCTCAGCGGTATTTTCTGGGCGTGGATCAGCTTCCCATAATGTAGATGAATTAGGAATGTCAATCGAGTATGTAGAGTCACATTTTGGAAGGTCACCATCACCAGGTTCTGGAATGGGGCACCCATCATCCACACTATTGTTACTCTAAATTGGAGTGAAATAAAAAAGAAGTATGTAAATACATTTCAAATGGCAATTCAAACGTTAGGTTAATATAATATAATATAATATAATATAGTTAATATAATATAATATAATATAATATAATATAATATATATAAATATAATATAATATAATATAATATTAATATAATATAATATAGATAAATATTATAAATAATATTAATATAATGATAATGATAATATATATAATATAATATAATATAATATTAAATATAATATATATAATATAATATAATATAAATAAATATAATATAATATATATAATATAATATAATATAATATTAATAATAATATAATATAATATAATATAATATAATATAGATATAATATAATATAAATATAATTATAATAATAATATAGATATAGATATAATTAATATAATAGTCATATCATATGCAACTATCATATGAGTACTACTCATATGATATGATATGATATGATATGAGAATATGATATATGATATGATATATGATATGATATGATATGTATGATATATGATAATGATATGATATATGAATATGATATGATATGAATAGGTGCATATGCATTATGAATATGATATGATATTAATATGAATATAATATAATATAATGGTGCTTATAGGTATTCATAAAAAAAAATACAAATATGACAAACATTGTACATGTTTTTACTAAACAGAAGTAAGAAGTGCAAACAATTCAGTCTTGATAGCCTGCTTGAATCACACTAAAAATCACAATTTTAGATTTTTACAGAAACTGTACACAGCAGACAGCAAATAATTCACCATCGCACTACAAAAAGACTATAAACCACCTTTCGTACATAATGCTGGGTGTAGACATATTTTGAAAAGGTTACACCATTGAAAACAGATAGGAAAATATAGTGTAAATAAAACAAAATATGGTCAACGCCTCTAGCAATAAGAATTTTAATGTATTTGTAATATATGTAAAGATGTTGTATTACACTCAAATTTGATTAAAGGACTCACCCCTGATTGTGAATTGGACTTGAAGGGTCCAACTTTCAGACTATTTAATTTTGCCAATACTTTCTTTGGTGTATGAGAAGGACTGTCTGTAGGAGTGGGTCCCTTTCCTTTCTCACCATCTCGCCTGAAAAAGTGATTTAAAATGGCCCTTCACTTCTTCATTCTAAACAGTGTGGTAAAATTATCAAAACTACCAAAAGTATTTTATACAATTTTCTTGAAATATGTTTTAAATACTAACATATTACACTTTTTAATCTACTAGTATTACTTTTCAGTGATAATTTAGAAAATGTTACAATTCATTATTTACTTTAATTTATTATTATTATTATTATTATTATTATTATTATTATTATTATTATTATTATATTTATTATTATTAATTGTTATTATATTGGTAATAAATATGGTAAATATATTTACGATTCAAAATATGTTATTTTTGTAAAATTAATAATACAATAACATTATTCATATATCATTAATTTTCATTACCATAAATATATTATTAAATTTTGTTATTAAGTCACTGACATAACGATAGGTGATAACACTAGAACTTAGTTGTTTACAATACTTTTAGGAAAGACTTATTTCAATTTATAAGTTCACAAAAATGGAAAGAATGTACAAAAAATATAACTACTCTTTTACAAGATTATTTGCAAACATTTCAAAGTGGTGCAAATTTTTAGTACCAGTAAAACAAGGATTTAACAGTAGTTTATCTGTAAAAAAGTAATTTTAAATCTTTTGTGTCTAAATCTGTTAATTTTTGTGTTTCCAATTCTTTTAATAATTTGTGAAACAATAAATTCCTTCATTTAAAAAAAATCAAAAATCAAGGTTTATGACAAACTTAAAAATAAGGGCAAGAAGAAATGTATACATAGCACTTAAGTCAGATATTTGTGTGATTAACATGTACCTAATGTTAACTATTCATGCATGCATGCATGCATGCATACATTTAAGCATTCAATAGTTGTACTCCCTCTTATATAATACAATTTCTATCTTCTCATTCCATTTTCCTATTTCTACACTAGCTTTATTTCATCTGATATATTAAAACAGCAACTGTGAAATGCTTTTCTAATTATTAACTAAAACACTAAAATTATTAACGGCACCTATGTTATTAATGTTTACTTCTGAAAATGAAATCTTATTTTCAGGTACAACTCAAATTTCTGAATTAATTATTCTTAGATAAATGATTCAGATTCCTGAAGCAGTAGCAGGAAAAGAAAAAAAGATTATTTTAAATAAACTTTGTGGATTTCCTAGCTGTCTTTTTGCTGCCCCCTTATTGAATTGTAATGGAAAAGAAATGACTATTGGAAAAGGACCATCTACGAAAACCTCTGTTTCATTTGCCTTGGTAATGTGTGCTCAATGTTTTTCAGACATACAATTAACAAATAAATTTAATTGATGATAATAATAAAAATAAATATTTTATATTTGAGTTAAAATAAATTTTCTTGTTCAATATGTGCATTTACAGATCACAAAAGGATGTTGTCAAAGTACAAATATTTGTGAAGAAAAGTTCCTTCTTCTCTTGAATTAGAATGAAGAGCTTCCATGCATATTCCAATTTGTATTAAATGAACTAGGAGTCACGACTAACAAATACACGCTCTGGTCAAGGGAGGGAAGTAATGTAGCATCATAACTCTATCTAGCAAAAATGAGAAAAGGTTAATATTTTCCTTCAAATAATTTTCTCGTGAAATCTGACATTCCCAACTGTCCAACTGTTTTATCTGCAATGCAATATGGGAAAATTTAAGTGTTCACAATGCATTGAGCCCTTTTATTTAGAAGTACTGAACTCTGAAAAACACATTGGTAATCCAATATGCTCAATAACTAAAGAAATGTATTTATCTCTCTAACCACAACCAAATTAGCACAAAGTTTTTTAAGTTTTTTATTTATTTTTATTCATAATACTTTCTGAGTATTTACCTTTCAACATAAATAGAAAACTAATGCAACAGGAGGTGAAAAAGAAGATAAAATTTATGAACTTCTTTCTTCCACACCCTCAGTTTATTACAAACTAGCATAAAAACTAGTAAATAACAGAGTTATTGAACAATGGACTTTTGTGTGAAGTGGTATGATGAAATAATGCAAGATGGAAAAAATGCAAGAGGGAAAAATCAATAGTATTACAGGATTGAAACCAGGATAACTAACTTTAACACTTTGACATTATTAAAATTTGGAATAATCAGATGCTGATTGAGAAATTGAAAACAAAAGAAAATACTCCCATCCAATTGGAAAGATGTTTGAAATTAAATACAAAATCTGCACAATTCAAAGAAGGCGATGGAAATGCAATCATGAAAATATTACAATATTATTCATTTTCTCTTTCAAGAAGCAATTAATGAAGGAATCAAAACCAAATCAAAAGTTTTAACATTTGTGATCTTCACACTCTAGTAATCATAAGAATAAAACTTGTCAAAAATATCAATAAGACATTTTAATTTGCTTCAATTTTAACCCTTCAATGTAAATGCAGCAATATTCCAATGAAGGAGAAGGGAAGGGGGCTGTATGAATCACCACAGAGGGAGGTAGCCACCTTAATGTACTGTTTCAGAGACCCTCTCATCTCTACAAGATATCCCACAGCAGAAAGGAAAAACTTATGTCATCTAAGCATTGAAACCTGCAAATGGAGGTGAAAGGAATAAGCCTTCTCAGGAAGGTATTCCTCATTGAAGAGTTATTAAGTGTTACAATACAAAAAAGAACATGTTTGTGCAATTTTTCAAATAAGAACTTCTTCCAAAATGAAAAATCATTGTGGTGAAGAAGTAATGAATAACAAAACTGTTTGTTTGTTTTTTTTTGGACAAAAATCTAAATATACTGTGTCTAATGGGCAAATGAAAAATACTTGGAATCAATAATTCTATGTTTAATGCATAATACTGGAATAATTGGAAGGGGAACCAAAAAAAATGACAATTTTGTAATAACTACAAAGAGAAATAGGATGATTTCTACTACTAAGCAAACTGGAATAATCACAATGCATTGTAAATATTTAACCTTGCCCATATCACTTTGTAGAAAAAAAAACAACATTGAACTAATTCAATGATTGTGAATAAGATGTATAACACTCAGCAATAAAATTATATAAATAAATTAATAAAAATAGCAATAATGAACAATTCATGCTAACGCACAACATTACCTCATATTTCAGTAAAAGTAAGCAAATTAAAGACTTATAATAAAAAAAAGTGTAAACTATAAGACAAAACAAGGCCAGCATTGCATTGTCTGTTGAACAGTGAGTTATCACAGACTCCACAGCTCAAGTGCACACAGAGCAAGCAGCTACAGCGTGCTAACGAGCAAGTGAAGGAATGGATCCTCACTGCACCTGAACTTGTGAGCATTTTCTTTGACATACTCTTCATATGATCCGACATCTGTGCAACGAATGAATTCAGTCCATTTCCCATACAGGAAGTGAAGTTTCTTCTTACTGAAAATTACAAGCAATCAAATACAGTTTACTATAAATTACAGTACTCAATATTTTACAAAAGTACAATACTTAATATATTTTTGTATATTACGAAGAAAAATTATAACATACTGCTGAATATAAATAATGTATTTTTATCTAGTACATGTTATCATATTACTTCATTTATCCTGTTGTTATTTTTTTTTTTTTCGCATTAGGTAGCATTTTTAACAGAAATATATTTTTTGCATATCCTCTCAATGTACCAATAAAAGAAATTAGCATGAAAAGAAATTAAAAAATTATGAATCTGAGAAAAATGGTATGACAAATGAACCAAACACTTTTACAGATTTCCCCAAAAGTGTATTTGTATTTTTTATTTCAGAAATTTTCCAGGTCATGAAAAAGTGTTAATGTCTTGAATAATATATATAAAAGCACATATTTATATCTATATATCTATGTAAATATACATTATAAAAAATCAAAAGAATCAAAGAATACTCTTTGATGTGTTTCTAATTAAATATTTATATTATGTAAAATTATTTTAAAAAATTACATTACAGGAAACATTGTCTATTTTTGATAAATGGCATTATAATTTATTTGTTATGGGAAATCAAATTGGCAAAAACAGAGAAACTATGGCCTATAATAAAAGAAACCTCCTCTTCTTTTCCATATTTAGATAACAAAATAATGTAGCCATATTGATTTTCGAATTCCATGTTTCAGTAAATTTACAGGAACATAGCATCATAAATCATACTGCAATAACTTATAATATAGGCACAGATCCAAGGGGGAAAAATGAGGCAAATTTCCCCCCTAAAATTTTTCAGTAACTATTAATAATAACTTTCAAGCAAAAATATTTTCGAATTATCGTTTAAATGAATAAAATCGTATGGCTGCATGGTAGCCTGCGATGTTTTACAAATTCTGTAATATACGTTTGACAAAAACATTTTGAATTTTCCCTCCCAAAATTCATCTCTGGATCCACCCCTGTATAAATATTTCTTAAATGTTTTTTAAATACTTATTTATATAACAAGGTGTATAAGTGGAACTTTTTCAAGAGGGAGAAAGGTTATGCCCAGAGCACATTAGAGAGAGAGCCACAACTGAAGCCTTAAACATTTTTAAATATGTTAGACACTCTAATCATTTAAAAAATTGAAAGAGAATAATTATGAGAAAAGTTTGATTAAGTGTTTTTACAAAATTTGTCAAATTTTAAGTTATATTCACAAAAAGAAAATGTGATTCTAAGAAACCTTTTCATAACTTCATTTTAAGCCCTTATTTTGCTAGGTTTATTACATAAAAACAGCTTATTTAATATGAGTGAATCATGCTATAAAGTACTGAGCTTCAAGACAAAATAATATATTTTTTAAAATCAGAGATGAATTTGAGAGAATGATTAGTGACATGATGTAACATTAGACACTTGTGAAATAAAAAAAGCCCATGTTATAGTTTCATAAACTTCTAAATAACCCCAAAATAAAATAATTCCTTCAAACTTTGCATAATCTCAAGTTATGTTAACAGTAAGATTAAATATCCTTACTTCAAATCTGATTATTCACTGCACAAGTACCTATGCCCATAAACAGCACCAAATGTTTTATGAACTTTAATATTTTAACATTAGAAATAAATATAATTTTTAGAAAAAACCTTTCTCTACAAACTAAGAGAAAACTGGACGTTAGACAATCCTTACTTACTGTCGATCAATGATGAAGCCCTCAACACGATGCAAGTCCTTTGAAAACCAACCAGCTGGCTTAAATGTTAGAATGGCACGATGACCTACAAAATAATACTGATTAGTACATAAAACATTTTGCTGTATATTCGCTAAGATGAAAATAAACATACCACTCGCATGATTGACTACTTCCATAGTTCCATATTGTTCCATCCACAATTTTCCTACAATGATATTGTGAACACAGCAATTAACATTGGTCCATGAATAAGCCTCCCCCCATCTATAAACATGAAAAATAAATCAATAAAGTGATTGAAGTTGAATGTCATTACTCTCAAGAATGGGGTAGTACAATGCAAAGAAAAGATTCACAAATTACTCACCGAGGGAGCTCCACAGTTACTTGTCCTTTGGGCTGTATTTCAACACTTTTGCCCCAGAATTTTAGTTTTGGGTGGATAGAACCATGAAATATAAAATCTTTACTCTCTGCATGAAATGCTGACACTGGTGGATGGTGGCTAACTTGCTCACAGATGACCCTTAAACATGAAAATTGTTATCCGTATATTATATCCATTTATTTTTTGTGAATTAAAGAACTAAAACACTTTAAGGCTGAGAATCTAATTTTCCTTATAAATTAGGTTTATTCTCCTTGACAATAATAACCATTAAAATAATGAAATAAGTGTTTTGCTTTGAAAAAACATGCAATATTCAGACATTATAGTGGTAATGGATATAATGTATGGCACATATGTAAGTAGATTTTATTTGCTCTTAATAATTAGTCTTCCAGCTCCTATTCTACCTAGGGGAGTAACATTGCTCCCTTGTATAAATAAAATTTTGAGTTATAAATTATTTATTTGTATAGGATAAAAAAAACCAACAACTTCATAATACTAACCTGTAACCATCTCTCTCTAGCTCATATGTCTCTCCCAAGAGGGGATTGAAAGGTTTGCCAAGTCGCTCCCAATTTGAAGCAAGAGCACTTACTGCAAAGGCAGCAACATACTGAAAACGCACAAATTGGTAGGATATAAAATCTTTTCATTATTCATCAAAGTGCAAGTTCAGACAACTAAGATTATGCAAAACAATTCATATAAAGGCAACACTGAATTTTAGGTGTGGCTGAAGGGACATATCTATAACCCACCTTTGAGAACTCTGAACAAAATAACATTCATTGAAACAAAATAAACAATACTTCTCTTATTTAATACAAAATATTTAAGTTACATCAAGTAATAAATTTAAATATTTCATAAGAAAGTACACTTCATTTTCAAATATTTGTTTAAAGCTTGATTAATTAAAACACATAACACAGAAAACCAATAATAATTTTTGAAACAGTAACATGCACCAATAAGCTCTTTATATCAAACCACTGTATGGAGTATATTTATTTTTAATTAGAAATATTTTAATTTCCTGTTCAGACATGGAATGTTTCTTACCTGCATGCGTGCAATGGGATCTGATTCCTCTGATGCCTTTCGCAGGAGATGGGCATATTCCATATACTCTACCATCCGCTGCAAGAAGCTCAGAGGTTCATTAAATATTACTGGCATTGTGATTTTACTCAACTCTTTGCCTATACAATTCTTTAGTACTGACCAGAGGGAAAAGTCATTACGACTAAACATAGGCACTGGGAGACTTGATCTGAAACATTATGGGAAACCAAGAGAAGTTTTTTAATGCAAAATAAATCAAATAGATTTCAAAACAACAGTTACACAAAACTAACACTGATGAATTAAGAGTTATTTTTCTTTCCAAGAATGTAATTGAAAACTTTTGAATAAATTTACACTTTTGTATAATAAATCTAGTAAATCAAAAATATTGACAAAATGCTCTAGGTCGTTATTAAATATGCAATGAATAGAACTAATTAAACAAACAATCATATCTAAATGTTCTACTTTAGAAGTAATGTAATGTATCTAAAGACTATGTGTGGGATTCTACAGTAAATTCTCTATTCACATGTTTTTTAGCAACATCTAACATACACAAGTAGACATAACAGTAGAACCAAATGTTCATGGTTATAAACAATCATGATTATGAACCATGAATATCTGGTCAGCAATATTTTAATGCTGAACATTTGGAGAGAATGAAATATTTACATACACCATCTACAAGGAGTTTGTTTGTCAATACAAGCAGAATATCTAAAGGAAAACAAGCAAAGGAAAGAGGTTCCCACACCTACAAACACCACTGCAAGAAAGAGAAGCAGCAATACACAATTTACAATATTTGTACAACACACTACATTTCAAAATTCAGTATTAACATTTAGATACATTACAAGTAACACATTTAACATAAACATTCATACACTATATTACAATAACACATCATGCAGTGAAGTTGAGAGAAGTTGTTATACAAGTAACAAGAACTTCAAATTGAAATGGTGGTTCAAAATTACCTTACCTATTCTCAAATAATAGTATGACTTATATATACTATTAACATAGATGATAAAATTGCTAAAGTAATAAACTATAGTATACTCAATTAAGTGTACTTAATAAAAGATACAATATATGTATACATGAAATTTTTGTTAGCTCCTTGGAAGCATGTATGAGATTGTGAACATTATGTGGTATTGGACTAAATTGGATTTTTCTGAAGGAAAGAAGGAGAATCTCAACCTCTTTATTGATCTTTCTGAAGACATCTGAGAAAGATCTTTTAAATTCATTTTGCAGCTATGAACAAACATGCAAGACTACAAAGATATTCCGTCTAAGTCACTAAAGAAAGGCATTGATCTAGTGCAAAGCTTCTTCAACTACAGTATAAGATAAAGATCCTCTTGAGGAGACCAAAGAAAGTTAGGAAAACACTGAAAATCAGATGTGACAAAGAAAAAACTGCAAAGTTTTTGAAGAAAGAAAAAATGAACACAGCCTAATACACATGTAAGTACTTGTGAAAGTGGTAAAAGTCAATATGCTGGTGTATGACCTTTTAAAGGTATAAACAACATTTACAGTTTAACAGTTTAATAAAATCTTTAATTCAGTCATGTCATGTGGTTAACAGATTAATCAATGCAAAATACATAATAAATGTGAACATTTTTTTTCCTTCAGCAATCACACTACTGTACTCGCATGCAGTGGCGTAACATGATGGGTAACAATGTAGACAGTCAACTCTTCAAGAAGAAAAAAAAAACGTATAGAATCGAGCATATGTATTCCTATAAGCCAAATTCTTCTTCCATTCTATATCTGTTTTCAAAGTGGAAGGCAGAATAAATTATCCGAATTACGACCTAGTCAGCAAGGGGAAGAAAAACCCAAGTGAATAGTTTTACATGAGACAGATCGCAATTTTCCCGGACTGAATTTTGAATGAGAAATTTCAGCGCGCGCCGACACGGCGATGTAGTCTCCGCACAGGCGAAAGGCACATCACATACGCACCCCCGCTGGAGTGCATTCGCCCGTGCGCATTCCAATACGCTGCGGTTCATCATGTCCTCGAATGCAGTTGTTATTCCTAAACCCTTCAAATTAATTAATGTTTTGGGTCACTCAACAGACTAATTATTGTGGTGCCCAAGGTCAACTATGGGATGACTACACCTCGGGATCAATCTTTGGAAATTGTCCTGCCCTCGTGATCGACGTTTGATTCTGTCCAGCTACGCCACTGCTCACATGAAAGGTACGAGCTGGTTATGGAGTTGAAATTAAGGCAGTCTACACGTTTGTAGGGGGAGGGGGGGTCTAGGCCAACAATATACAGGGGTCTATCCAGGGGGCATCGGGTGCGAAGTTGAAGAAGCTCTGATCTAGCGCTGACACACACAGCATGCAAGGGACAAGCATGGTCTCGCGCTTAATTCCGCCGACAGCCGCGAGTCCCCCTGCCCTGCCCCGCCCCCCTCCGCTCCGCTCCGCCCGATAACCCACGCGGCTGCCGCGCCCCCGCGCCCCTCTTCCGCGAGCAGAGGTGGCGGAGGGGAGCGGGCGGGGCGGTTTTTCTTCGGCCGCCGCCGCCGGGCGCACGCGACCTCACGCCCCACGCACGTGGCCGCCCCTCCACGCCCCGCGCCGCGCCATTCACGCCACCGCGCCGGGCCGCCGCGCCGCGCCGTGCCGCACGGCTCACCGCGGCCCCACGACGGGCCCGCCAGCCGTCAGCCCACCAGCCGGCCGCGCTTCTGCCCAGGGCCCCGGCTTCGAGGGCGACCCCGGCCAAGAGACGAACGGCGCACATTCAGAACGCAGCAAATGTTCACGGAAAATAATGTCAACTTCTACGGACGACTTCGGAAATATTTGGTCGAATTTATGTCTTAGAAAATGTTACGCAACACTACTCTTGTTCTTTGTTTTAGTTTGTTTCTGGCAGCACTTTACTTCATTCTATTACATTTACTAGCACAGAGCATTTTTTAAAAGAAAATTATTATATATAAAAAAGATTATTGAATAAAATGTATAAAATTGGTTTATTTCACAAATCCCTTGTAAATAATAACTAAAGAAAATAAGAATCGTCCAGTAAATACAGTAAAACTTGCAAATGAGAAATGTCACGATTGAGTTTTCACACACTTCGTATGCTGCTGTTCGAGCTCTAAGAGGTCCGTAAGATCAAGATTCAGGTCGCAAAAATCCAGGGAGAGAGGTAAGGGAAAAGGGTTCTAATAGTATTCTGGTACACACCACGAACGAAATGGCCTCTTTAAATTATGCAGCAAACGTTGCAGAATCTTCAGATCCTTATTTCATTTTCAAAAAAATGTGATTCAGAGATTTTGATCGATCCGTGTTACGCGAGACAAACTGAAAACAAGTACACCTGACACTAAGACACGACAAACAAATGTACAGTTTTACGCGAGTGGTGAGAGCGTTGGTCCTTGACAATCTTCAGACCATGTGTTACAGATGCAATTGGATGAGAAGGGGCGCAAAGTCTTAAGTCCATTCTAAATCACAACCTTTTTCCTAAGGAAAAAAAACATGATTGTACTGTGGAGTTGTGGTATGTAACATAATGTATTCAGCAGAAAAACATAAACGTTTCAGTTATCCGGTGTCAATTACGGCTAAACGGGTTATCCCTAACCGATATGTTCTCATTACGGTGTGAGTTAAAACGACTTCCACCTCATATGTTTTGTATTGTTTAAGATGTATAAATATTGTTTTGGCATTCAATAGGTGACGCAGAGACGCACATCATAAAAGTACTTCATTGGTTTCTATCACTTTCGCAGCGAGCGGATTTTAGGGAACTGTTTTTTTTTTTCTTCCTTTTAACGCGGCAAATGGTAACGGATTGCGTAAGAACTCCGGAAGTATGAGCTGTTGGAATAAAATAACATATTTACCGTTAAAATCTTTGTCAGAATTTTAAAAGGATTCGCAAGAAATGAAAATGTAAGTTCTTATGTAAAAAACAAACAAAGTTCCCTAAAATACACTCGTTGCGGTACAGATTGAAATGCTACGCTTGGAAAAAAACATTTGTGATAGGCTACTGTGGTCATAAACGTGTCACATCAATTACACGTTTTAGTTTCATAAATTGCCAATTATTTGATGCCAATTTCCTTAATTTCTTTCAAGTCTGAGACTAGACTAGAACGACAGTAACCCACATAATAATGATTAAAACTACTCCTTTTGCGACAAATATTTTATTCAAACTCGGAATACGAAATTTCTTGAGGAATTTCGAAACAATGCTGCGAAGAAAGAAAAAAATATTTCAAGAAATATAACCACTACAGTATCCTAATATAAGTGAACAGGCGATCTGACAACATTAAGTAACGCGTATTTATTTTCAGATACGCGTTTTAAGCACACACGGAAGAACAAGTTTTAAATTATAACATTAATATTGCGAACAAAATAGAGATGTGAAGGGTAGGTAGTAAGATGATTATGACAGGATGGATTATCCAGATAGTTCTGTTCAAAAAATCGTCCCTCGACGACTCGTACAAGACGACAAAGTGCGCGTGGGAGCGTACTCTTTTCCCTTACAAGTACAAGCAGCTAGTACCAAATACACTAAGCTCAAATTCAAAACACAATACAAGAGTCGACCAAAATTACAGGCGAACCCGAAGTTCACGCTCACAGCAGGGCAAAAACAATTCGGCCACTTGCCGCCAACTGCTCTGTCAGTGCAATGCGGAAAAGGGAGGGGGTGGAATCTTCAACCGAGTTGACAATTCCAATGCACGTCCATAAATGCCGAAATCTTACGAATTGGAAGAGTATGTTCCTCCGTAGACAATTTCCAGTGTCACTAACACAATCCAAAATGAATGGGCAATAAATCAGTGAAGTCATATTTCGATCAGGGATGCCAATATACAAACTTCCTTTTTCGGAGAAGCAGTGGTACTCAAAATCCAGGTATCTTTCAACTGAAACCAAATTCAACCAGAAATACTACACTACAAAAGAACACAGGGGAATTAAGGCGGCGTGTCCTTAAGGTAGAAAGGCATCGAGATGGATGACGCTAAAGCAAACGGTGTTCAATGATACTGTTAGAAGGACGAAGGGTAGAGGAAATTTAATACGGAGCATAAATCACTTCCTTGGGGGTAATTAAAGGAAACTTCGACGGCACGAAGTCTTAGAGAGGCTGACAGGTTCAGCAAGAAATTAAGGTTCGGACGCACACTTTGGAAGAAGAGGAGGAAGATACGAAAATACGAGGTAGCGGGATCCTATGAATGAGAGGGGATAACGAAGAATCAAACAAATAAAACATGTCATACAAGGTAACTGCATATTTCACCAATACTACGTCAATTTCTACATGGCGAATGTGTGGCTCGAGGCCGACTTTGAGTGCCACTGCTCCGCACAGTAACGTCATTTATGGACTGGCTGCCCCATGTGCCTGGGAAGAGGGGGGGGCGGGGAGTGCTGAGAGTGAGAGAGAGATAGAGAGTCCGTGTGTGAGCACCAACCTGTATTTCCAGTCTCTGACCCTACGGTCGTGGTCCTCTTGTTCGGCGGCCATTCTGCGTGGGCGGTGGGGTGGTCGTGCTGCTCGCGGGCTGCTCGTGCTCCTGGCGTCGCGCGCCGCAGCCTCATCCGGCCCCGCCTCCTCCGCCTCCGCTTCCGCCTCAGGCCTCAGAGCCAAAGCCTGCGCTCGCCGCGGCCGCCGCGCCCCCGGCGCTACGCGCGCCACCTGCGGACGAGGGAGCGCCGCGCCCCACTCACACACCCGCGCCCGCGCCCCGCCACCCACGCCCGCCCCGCCTCTCGCTGCGCTCCCCGCTCCCGCTTACGCCGCCACGAAGTGCCTACGGCTCAGGGGCACGCAACTCCCAGGACGAACATTCCAGGATGGGCCGCAGTGGCGACGTCAGATTTGCCCGAATCAAAATGTTATATGGATCTTGAGTTTTCTCTTTTTAAACCTTTGGGCTAAGATTTGTGGATCAGCTTAATGAGAACTTAAGGGGGCGGGCGCTCCTCAGTAACCTTCCACTATTTGCTAGATGCAATGATCAACCAACTCACTGTCACAGACTACTCTATATAACTACCTCACTTTTTTACAATCCCGAAATCGCTAGTACGGAAAGAAGCTAGTACCCCGAAAACTCGCTCACGCACTCACAACTTCCTTCAGTGCAACCTTATGCACAGTTCCGAAATATGACCAAAAGAGATTGCTGCTACATTTCCAGATCAAACATCAAGCGAGCATCAAGTCGTCTGGCGCCAGTGGATCCTTATTAACACCTCACTGAGCAATGTTACAACGCAGAGTCAGTCATTCTCGAGCGTTCTCTGAAGAAATGTGGAAGTCTTGTTTAATTCTAGTGCTGCTTGTCCCTCCCGCGGACCGCGAGTTGTGAACTGCAGGCCCAGGCACGCCCCCGCGGCCCCGAAGCAACGTCTCCTACGGAGTGACGTCAACAGCTCGGCGGTCTGCGACTATACAAATCAGGACTTCGGGGCGGAGTTGAATTTGGAAGACCATGCTACTTCCCTCAGTCCAATTCTCTCTCTCTCTCTAGTGTTCAAATTTTCCAGTCCCTGTAAGAATAATACGAAAGGAAGACTGCTTTCACATCGCCTCGTTTCGTTCGTGATCGATAGCTACCTCTTTGGGGGCGTTTCGACACCGTTGGGGTTCGTTGAAGGAAACAAGTCTTTGCTCAACAACCTTACAGCGAAAACTTGCAGTCACTTTTACGCCCCGACAAAGCGCAACGCAATAAACCGGAAATAAAAGTCTTCCCGAAAATATAGCTTTAAAAAATTAAAATGAAAGCAAACATGCCTAAAAGTCTATAAACCACTCTTAAAAACATTTCAGCTAAAACGTATCTATATTTGAAAGTTACATGTCGATAAACTTTATTATAATCCTTGTAGAAACGTTTAAAATTTACCCCAGTTAACCATCCAAGCATGTTACTACATATACAACTATACCTTTGACATTAGTCTTAATTCGCGTCTAAAATCAAGAGAAAATAAATGTTATGACTATTTTAACACATACTAAAACATGGGAAATAAAATCGCAGACTTGCCATTACGAGTATAATGTTTACTAATGTATAAAAAAGTGCCGTTTCAAACTAAATGTTTTTTCCGTCGTATATTTATGTGGTTCAAAATATTTTGCGATAGTACGCAATATCGTCATGATAAGATATTCTATATCCCACTTTTTCAAACGCGTCGCGACAGCAATTTTGTCGCAAAGAAAATTCATTTCGGCAAAAGTCTGCAAACTTTCAAAGTTTGCAAAACGCGCAGATGTAATAGAACTTTACAATCGATCAAAGGCGTAAGAAGCTTCGACAAGAAAATTTCAAGTTCAATCTCTAATATCAACTTGGGAACAGAGCTTCACGTTACATCCAATGCATTTACTAACTCCTCGCACTTGCAAACTCAGATATTGTAAAACTCAATGAAAGGACTCAGTCGACCTCTATTATCACACGCGACAACTGGGGGAAATTATTTAAAAAAGAGAAGAAAAAAGATTAACAATAAATGTCTCAACTTGTAACTCTAGTTTTCTAATCTTCTAAATGAAGTGCGTATCTCAATAATAATAATTATAAAAAAGTTTGAAAATAGAATAAATTTCTATTACCATTCAGATTTCATTTCAATTTTCCATATTTAATGCAAATACCTTCCATTTTAATACCTCAGAAACAGAAGAAAAAAACATTCACCGGAGATCGAACAGCATATCGCTCACAATAGGGGAATGTGATTTCCCATACCCATCAAAATTACTAACATATAGTACAAGTACATTCCGAAAAATATAAACGAGACACAGAGAGAGAAAATTATTTTAAAACTCTGTTTAGGCGACCATTCATACTGAGGAGAAATGCATATTTTTTACAAGTTACTGAGATACGATTTTTTTGGCTCATTGGGTGTTTTCCGTAGTTATCAACAGACTAGAAATAATTAATATATTTATTACGTGGCAATTAACACAAACGCCTAAATCAGTTTTAAGGCGTTCGAATATAGAAGATTTGCAGTAGTTGGAGTCTTTGTACAACTCTCATTAATATGAAGCTTAACATAAAAACTTTACTTCAATATAGATCCTCAGGGTATGCGTTTTCGCATTTGTTGTCGATACAATAGTAGACGGATACTGAATAACAACAATAAAACTTCGTTATGCAACTTTTCTGGAAGCTAATGGACGATATGCTGAACGAGTCCAGACAAAGATCCACTTGACACTTCTCGAAAAACGGTCGTGATTATAAAACAATTCAACTATACACCTTCACTTCACTAGATCACTATCGCATGTCCTTCAAATCACATACTCCAAACATCACGACTGTGTCAAAACATCACCTGCAGCAGGGGCTAAACTTTGGACAGCAACACACGTGCGACACTTCTTTGTCAGAGCGAAACACCGACGGTTTTTTTTATCTTCTTACACTTTTGAGAACAATATTATATTTAAAGTAGACGAAGCCGATTCGACTAACCAACAGTAAATTCTCACGACAAACCTTTGCAGAAAGTTCAGTTTAACTAGTATACATTTTCTAGTATAGTATGTAATAAAATCATCAATCATAAAATCATATACAGAGCACAAAATCGTAAAAAAATGTAAAAATACCCACACAATTCACTCCAATAATATTATAACAAAAACGTAAAGCACGTTCCAATTACCCGTTTCATGCGGAATTCAACAGTTAAATTAGCACTCGAAATTATTCACAATCCATCCCCCCCCCAAAAAAAACAATACACGCTCGTAAACAATTCGCAAATAAGCATTCGCGAAAATGTCGACACTCGTAAACTCACTTCTTTCAAACTCCGCTCTCCACACGAAACACAACCCACCAAAACTCAAACGGCGTTATCTTAATATTCGGCACGAGTCGCCCCACGGAATTCCACCGCTCCCGGCACTCGCGAACGATGTGTGGCGTGGCCTGCAGCTGCTCCGGTCGTGGCGTGAAGTGGGCGATGGCTCACCTTTAGCGAGTTCCGGGCGCGAGGGGACCTCTCCAGACGCGTGCCCACCGAAGCGCCCTCGCCGACTGCGCCCGCCGCGCGTCCGCACGCCGCCCGGCAAACCGACGGCCAGCGAGGATCGAACCCTTATCGCGGAGCGTTCACGCGGCCCGACTGTATCAGCGCGAAGGAGCGCGGTGGCACTGTGGAGGAGGTGACGTTGGGCAAGAGGCAGGCGGAGGAGGGGTTCCGTCCAGTTCGGTGTTGTGATAGCGATAACGCCGCTTCCTTGCAAAGAAGAATTGCTCATTGACGTACCTCCGCTTCATGATTCATCCGCGTCGATTTTAAGAAAGGAAGCGAAGGAAGGATCAACAACATACCACGCAGATCGCGTTACAGTGCTGAACAAACATCCATTCTCTCACTAAAAAGCTCCCAGTCGACAAAAAAAATATCGATATGACATTTATTCGAGACATTTGAGAAGCGGAAACATTATTTCCGAGTAATCTACGTCACATGGCTGCACCAGCTTAGGACGTCCGCTCACGTCATTTGGCAAAACGCCACAAATATTGAGAGTATTATAAACAATGAGTGTGCCAGCAGGAAATCGATGGCTTGTCATCCGATGCTACGCCTTTCTTCATGATACAGTTTCCGTCAGCATTTATAATCTAAACAATACTTAATTGTCAACAGACTGAATAGTGTTCAAAAGAATACAGTGTTTAAAAGAATCGACGCTGGCACTTTTCCAAATTTCACTATTTAGGGATCAATAACAAGGATGAATCAGAGTTACTGTCATTAATCATCCTCTTGGGTTTCTTCTTTCAACAGGTGGCATTTCAAATTCAGAAAATAACGAAACATCGAAGGAAGCAAAATTATCTTGCTCAGCGAGAAATAAACATTTTATTCTTAATAATGAAATAAACTATTTTACTTCATTATTGTTTTTGTCAGAGACAATTATGACTCACATTAAGAGTTTTAGCGATGCCTCTTAAGTGTAATTATTTAAATACTTTACTTTTCCCATTTTTTGCCTTTAATTTAAACTGAATTATTTTATTCTTATATTTTAAATATCGTAGATTGCTAGATTCTTGAATTATTCAAAACTCTTTTGGATTCACAATCTTTTTGCCAAAAGACACTGGACATACTTTTGTTTTATTAAATCATTGGAACCGTGGTTTTCGTCGTTTCCCTTGGATCATCAGAGCAAATGCCGAGTGTTCCCTGCGTCCGTGATACTATATTTTACTTTATTTCTCCCCATTTATTTCGAACAGTTGCACTGTTCGTTGTCAAAATTAATTAAAATTTTTAAATTGAATGTGTCGAGTTTCTTAGTTGTGACAGCATGAAATATGGATTACACCTCCAGAGCTTTAAACGAGTTTCGAATCATAAGTTGGTGAGATGTTAAAATTAATCCCTCAAATTAAAAATATTCAACAGATAAAAATAAGAGGAAATTCTGTAAGAGAGCGGGAACTTTGAGAAAATAGTCGGATTTTTTCTTCTCGACTACATTTTTTAGTAATATCGAAAATACTACTTACTGAATTTTTTAAAAAATGATTACTAACACGTTTTAGTTCTATCCATTTTAAACGATTGCTTATCATTACTGAAGAGACAGAATAATTTTAAAAGTAACCAACAAACTGTACTCTTATGCAACATCGTCATTACGAGTATTGAACGAACATCAATAGCAACTATGTACAAAAGCCTTCCCGCCTATGTCCAAAGTTCTACCCATTAGCCTGGGATGTGATCATTGTTGTTTAAACAAATTGCAATTGAACGCATTATTGGTTTGTCTTGCCTTAAAAAAATGAATAGAATATTAGAAAAT